TTATGAACATCTGGAAAAAACACGACTGAAAAGCAGCAGGCCCGGCCTTACGCTAATGCAGTACTAAGGAATCCACCTGCAGGTATTGGTTAGTCATGAAACCAGGATTTCAGTGCTATCAGAAATGACATGTTCCTACAGATTCCTAAATTCTACTCCTTTTCAAACCAAGCATGCCTCTCAGCAGGGCTGTGTGGAAGGTGAAAAAAGCTTCTAGCCTTCTGCCAGCTCTGTCCAAGGAGAAAAATTTAGCCTGATGTGTAGACAGTAACTCATTCTCATAACCTCCTAATGCACAAATCCTTCGCTACAACAATTCCCTTCCCTGCTCAAGGAGGATAAAATTGCTAAAAGAGCAATGAAACTCTGAAAAAGCCCAGAGAGTGGTTCTAGTTATTGGAAGAAAAGGAAGAGCTAATCATGTCCCGAGTATCTCCAGGCTGACTGAACATCTTGTCACGGACCTCACTTTCTTGGTCTGTGCTCCCTACTTTCCTTCTGACTTATCACCCAACTTATATGCTTAAACTATATAGAGAACAGTGTGGAGCATTACTTTTACCATGCAAAGCAGATAATAAATATTTATTTACAGAAAAGGTGGTTAAACTTACTTGTTGGTAAACTTAAACATTAACTGCACCTAATTTAAGACAAGAGACCTCTGTTAATTTTCTTGAACCGTGTACTTACTTACCAATTAGAGACTCCTTCAATAGTTGAGTTTTGCAATGCTTATTGCAGAAGTAAATATCTCAAGCAGGTCGTGGCCATCTAGACGATTCCTTGGCTGGTGGAGTTTGTTATTCTTCTACCTTTCTGTTGTTCCAGATCCCTCTCTAAGAATTACCCTGTTCTCAGTTTGCTCAGCAGACCTATTTTTCCACACTGCTACTACCATCTTGTAGGAGTGTAATCATCGAGTATGCAGTGAAATCAGAAGTTTAGTGCTATAAAACTAGCGTTTGAGTAAAAATATAAAAGATTCTTTTGCTTTCATTTTACATTGAGGGCCTATGTATAGCTTTATGATCTTGATTTTCAGATAACATTTCAGTTTCTCTTTTATAGAATGGGAATTACAGTACTTTCCCATTTCCTAAGCTGAGGCTCAATTTGTTAACATTTATAAAACTCTAAGATCCTCAGCTAGAAAGACACAGAACTAAAAGTGTATAAACAAACATTACTAAAAAACTGGAATAACAGCTCTGTGTTTAGAAATTAGAGTTTACACATTGCATTCAGTTTGTCTTCCTCAGCATTGTGAAATACCTTGTCCGTGACAGATATATTATTTACATATTCTACCCATTCTCCTGTGGTGCTTTTAAATTGTAGCATTTAAAAGAACACATAAGACTTTGAAAACATTTTAGGGCGAAAATAGTAAAAAGCTTACTCCAGCAAGAAGACAGAGATCAGGAGATGGGAAATGTGTAATATGCCACAATAGAAACCTTCCAGAATTACAGGTATTAAGCGAGAAAATCCACTACTAGTTAATGACTCCTTCAGACTGAGGAGTTGGTTTGATAATGTTTAGCATATTTTCAATTCACTATATGAAAAGCAGTCAGTTCACTCTGCATTAGTTCAATGCTTTTGGTTTGTTTTACGATATCCTGGAAGTTCAGCTACTTTGTTACAGTAAAATTTCTGATTGCACTTCAGTTCATAAATCCTGGGGAAGAGTTCTTAGTTTAATGAGTTTTCCAAGCCTTATTTAAAGAATATTTTACTACAGCTTCCCAAGAGGTAGAACTAGCAATGGCTTGTGCTTTGGAAGCAGCTATCAAACTTGGACCTCAGGTACCAGTTAATGTTTTAGTAATGAAAAAGATATGCTGTAATATGGTGTTTCTGTACCTCTACGACAATCCGCTTCAGATCTTCCACAGAAGTATCCCACTGGCAGATTATTTTTGAGGAACATTCTCTCCTGACATCTGAGGCTTCAGAAATCAAAACACAACTTTTCTGTAGCAAAAGAAAAAGCATAGAAGAATATGCATCACATGCCATTTAGCTTTGATCTTCAGAAGATCCTTTCAACTCTTTGACCTAGTAATACTTTTTGTTACAGTGAACAGGATTTTCCACTTGCAGTTGTCACTAGCTGTCACCATTATTAGAAAAGTTTGGTTCTCATACATAGAAAGTCTTGTGGATAGACATCTGTGGGATGATGGTGACATGCTCCAATTACAGGTACCTCTGTGGAGGGACAAGTTACATTGTGAACTCACGTGAGGATATGGCCACAATTCTTGAGCTCAAAAACCCTACAAGTAGTGTCATTTTACTCTTAAAATAACCCTTGATATGCTCTAAAGGTCACATGAGAAGATCTTGCTGAAAGGCTTGTTTTTGAGCTCTCTTAAAAGGGAGGGGAGAAAGAAGTGAAGACTGAAAATGCCCTTAGAACCGCACTTTACTAGAAATTGAGACAATCATTAGCTCTCTCAGCTCCAGGTCTAGCTGAGCTACAAATACACAAGTTTCCTTGCCAGAGAGTTACATCACAACCACAGAAGTTCAGTAAAACCTTTTCCATTCTGTAATTTAAAAAGGGCTTAATAGAGAAGATTTCGTATTAACAGGGTGGTTTTCTCCCTGCTGCAGCTAGGAACATGGAAAAATTGACCTATGCCCAGTTTAGTCTTGACTTGTCTATTCCAGACTCTTCTAAAGAGATCATTTCACAGGCGCTGAGCTGTGACCCTTCAAATGAGTTCATTTTGATTCCTTAAATAGACAGGTGTCCACAGAGCACACAGATTGTCTCTTTTCTTGTCTGGTTTCTCTGCACTTATCATTGAACTGCACCTGATTTACAAGGACAGCAAGATGTGTTTTCAGAACTGGTCTGAAGCAAACAAATCACAAAACTATTGACTTTTTTGTAGTGTTTTCTTTAAAAAAAATGCATACCTTTGAAGCAGCTTTAATTTCAAAACATGTCAGTACAGCCCACCTAGACAGTGCTCTGATCCTGTGGCCTGCATAATAAGATCCCCTAGAAGAAAAACACTGAAATGGATGGGAGGGATTGTTTGCTGAGAAGACTTAGCGAAACTGCAGTAAACCTGAGCAAGTGAGATGTCCTGCTTCTGCTTTTATCCATTTTTCCTCTATATTGTTCACTACCACCTTTTCTTGTTACTAATTTAACTTTGAGATGTGTATACACCACAGCCTTCACAGGCTGATCTCGGATTCAGAGGCAAACCCTATCTTCTGGCTATTTCTTTGCCCCATGCCTAACACGCCCATCTGCAAACTCCACATTGCACCACCAGCTTCTTAAATAAAGAGATGAAGAGCTGAGTCATAAAATGCAACTGGAGAAGGAAAAAAAAAGGTAGTGGGTGGGGGGAGAAAATCAAGTCCTTATAATAGCATGCATATCTTTTCTGGAAAACCTCTGGTTTGTGTTTATCTCTCATAGCAAAATCTACAGCCTTCCTGATTGCCCTTGTAAGAAGAGACAGGTTGGAGAGCTGAGCACACAGGTGTCCTGAGCTGCTCGATATGTGCTGGCCACCTCTTCTGACTCGATTTAGCATGAAAACTTTTAACTCTTTGAGGGTTACAGTGCATTTTTCGACTAAAACTGTTGTGTCAATAGCTTTATCATAATTTAATAACTGCCAAAATTAATAGCAAAGGGAATTTTGCCTTCGCAGGTGAGGCACTCACACGCCCCTTTTCACAAGCACGTAGTTAGTCAGCCAGATAGGGTAAAAACGGTCCACCCAGCAAAGCTCGCTGCTCCTCGGCTTCCTTAACTTTTTATCCCGTCGCTTTAAAAGGGAGAACTCAAAGCCGGGGCTGTGCAGCCACCTGCGCGCCGCCGTGGGAACAGCGCAGCTGCCCGCGCTCCCTGCGGGTACGTCCCGGCGTCCG